CCCTTGCCAACTTTCAAGCATACACTGTCACGTTGGCAACTCAAAATCTAAAGAGCTCAAACGAGAATCTGAAGAACTCAGACTTTGTCTCCTTCACTTGCTCCACATGCTATTCAGTATCAACCTTCAGATTAGATTAGGGTTTCCAGCTTCCAGAAAATATAGACCAAACATATGTTTATTCATATATGAATATTCATTATACATTTGCTTTGCTAATTTGGAAAGCTCTACTCACTTCAGCTTAATGCTGTACATTCCCCAGTTAACGTGTGAAAATGGAAAGAGGCATTTCTACCAAAGCACTCAAGATCTCTTGTCTGTAGAAATCAAGCACAGAAAGATGTGATGTATGACAATGTTTTTAAAAGGCTTTTGGGCAAGAGGATATGACCAGCTCAGTTTCAAAAGTGGTTTGCTACATAACATGGAAGATAACTGGCCATAATCGTGTTGTATAAGTTATGCTTGTGGAACGGTGATGACATTGACAGCAGGGGGAGATTTTTGGTAACTAAAGAATTCCTCCTTCTGCCCCATGATCCCCACAGCTTCCATGCCATGAAGGACGGAAGGAGAAGGAATTTCGTTTCCAAAGTTCTCCCCCTGCCAGTGACATAATCACTGTTCAGCAGACGGAACTTGTGCAACAGGAATTTGACTGTTGTTTCAGGAACCTTGGGACCAAAGGCCACTTAAGGAAAACTAGGTGTTATGCAGTTCTTTGGATCTTGGCTTAGAGTGAGGCTTTCCACTTACATTTTCTAGCATATCAAGCAAAGCAATTACCCCGAGACTTTAGGAATGTAAATTGAGACCAACATTGAAAACTGCCATGTTCCTTTATGAGAGGGGTGGACAGAGTATGTCCTTTGAGGCAGTGGTTCTTAACCTTTGTTACTCGGATGTTTTTGAACTGCAACTCCCAGAAACCCCAGCCAGCACAGTTGGTGGTGAAGGCTTCTGGAAGTTGCAGTCCAAAACTCCTGTGTAACCCAAGCAGAGTATGTCCTTCGAGGCATTGCTGAACTGCAACTCCCAGCATTCCCTACCAGTGGCTTTGCTGGCTTCCGTATGACTGATGGGAGGGACAGCCTAGCAGCTGCTGCTCTGGGAGTCACTCTGCCCACCTCATTTGTGATGAAGTCCTCTCAGTTCTGTTGAAAAGATGTTTGAACTTTTTGTGGCTGATTCTCAGTGACACCTCCATTTAGGTTGTCCTGAACGGAAAGACAAGATACAGCCCGCTCCCTGCTTTTAGAAGAGAAACCACAGGGTGGATTAAAAACTTATGGTCCCAACTCTCTTATTCTCCTTAAAAGTTCTGCACACAAAATTCTATGCATGAAAGTTGCACTGAGAAACAGTTGAGAGTTTGATACCCACGCACACCTATGTTCAGAACTGAGATCTCCTCTATTGTCTGAGCACAGTAATCCATAATTTGGAAATAATTGGTTAAAAATTATTCAATGCCAATAATTTTTGACTGCAGTTTTAAAAATTGTCAGTTTATCAGTTGCGAACCGTACTATATTTAGGCGAGTTGATCAATGTGCATTATTATAAATTGTTCCTTTTATATTGTTGTAATTTTTTAAATTAACAAATAATTGTCAACTTCTTTCGATCAGTGATTTGGGTAACAAACTGATTCAATATTTTTTTTCTTAATGTTTGAAAAATAAGAAAGCAACGCTCTGTAATAATTTCATATCACAGTCTTAACAGCAATGCTGGTGTTACGGAGATCTGAGCTAGTCTCAAAAAATAATTTCTCTTGGAGAAATTATTTTTTGGACTACAGCTCATCATTTCTGAGAATTCTGGAAGCTATCATTCAAAAAAAGTTTTGAATGTTCTGCTTATTTTATTTTATTGAGCTATAGCTGTTGTTTTCGCATGTGCAGATATTTTCACATAAGAGCAGATACACTTTTCTCATTTGAATTGACTGCAGTGGTGCCTCGCTTGATGAGGATAATCCGTTCCAGCGAAATCGCTGTAGAGCAAAATCTTCGGCAAGTGAAATAAAAAAGCCTATTGAAACGCATTGAAAACTGCTCAATGGGCTAAATACCTCAGTGTCCAGCGACAATCCTCCATAGGGCGGCCATTTTCCGATGCCTGTGCAGCAAAAAAATCCATCCTAAAGCACAGCGGGGAGCCATTTTACACAGTGGGCGGGCATTTTGAAACCCGATGATCAGCTGTTTTGATCGTCGTAATGCGAAGAATCGGTTCCTGAAGCAGGGAACCGATCGTCGGGAA